AAGAAAGGGGGGGGGGTAAAGGGGAAAGGATAGAGGGGTGTAGTGGCAGGGGTCACAAGGAGTGTTCAGTCGTGAAGGGGAGTGCGTAGAGAAGTGTTGGCTGGGAGCAATAAGGGAGTATCTCACTGAGAAATTATTTCAAATAAACAAGACAAAATGTCCTCTGTTTACAACCGTTCGTTGTGTAGCAGGTTCATGGCGTGGGTTCGAGTCCCTGCGTGAAAGACGTTATTTTATTCATTCTCTGTCCGTCTGCTAAGATGCTGTACTCCCCTCAATCTAGACTGGCCCTGGCAGGGACGGCTCCTAGCAGCACATACCTTCATGATTATGATCACAGCGGCTGGTTGGAGTACGCTTCTCGTAAGCCCCACGTCTTTTCTATCCCTGTGTCTTTTCTGTCTGTTTTTCTTCCTCTTTCCAAATACTAAGTATCCGTTATTAAGTCAACGTTTTTTTTTTCTTCTTTGTTAAACAATAAAATATCTAAAATATTATATTGACAGCGTAATGCACAAAGCAACATATTATGAAATTATCGTGTGCTAAACAAGATCAGTTACCATGAGCTAGTTTAAATTACTCTGAGCAGAAGGTAAACTGATCATGAGCTAAATGTGAAGTTACCAAAATCTGAAATGTGAAGCTACCTAGAGCTAAAACGTGAGGTTATATTGAGCCAAAATGTGAACAATTCTACAAGTTAACATTATCAAATTATCATTTGTTAAAATTGTTGCTAACGTTTGAAAATTTGATGTTACAAAGATTTAAAATGTGAAGCAAAAAAGAGCTGAAATATGACAATGCCATGAGATATCTAAAGTTACCGTGAGCAGAAATGTGACTATGTTATGTGCTAAATTGTGAAGTAGTTACACCATGCACTAAAATGTGAAGTATTTACCATGATCTAAAATGTGGAGTTACCATTCTCTAAAATGTTAAACGGTTTCCATGAGCTAAAATGTGAAGTTACTATGCGTTGAAACAGGACGTAAACATGAGCTAAAAAGTGAAATTACTATGCGCTAAAATGTGACCTTACCATCAGCTAAAATACAAAGTTATTGTGCGCTAAAATGTGACCTTGCCATCAGCTAAATTACAAAGTTATTGTGCGCTAAAATGTGACCTTGTCGTGCGTTACCATGACGTTATCATTTGAAGTAGTCACCATGAATATGACGTTATACGAGCAAAACTATGAGGTGTTTACCATGAGCTGAGGTCCATGGACAGGGCGAAGCTTGGGTAGGAGGGGCAGATGTTCTGACCGAGCGGGCTGGTGAACACAGACGGGATCTGACCACCACGGTCGTCCGGCAGGCCCTGGTTGAGGATACCGCTCAGGTAGAAGCGGATCACACAGCCCACGGTGAACAAACACACGGCGCCTATCTGTGGGTGGGGGAAAGGGGGTGGTAGTG